TCCGATTTCAGACGGTTAAATTTGAAATACGAAAAAACTACATGTTTGATTTTGAGTTTTTTGTTATCGCCGCATAGCGGACATTCCAATAGTTCATAATAAGTTATAAAATGTTGAGAACTTACAAAAGTTCCGCTTTTGAAATGTATGATTTTCTTATTTTGTTACTAACTTATTCGATAAAAAATGAAATTTTCTGTGAAAAATCTCCTAGTAATGAAATGTGCAAATTATGTAAATATATTTCTATCTAACAATATATATCTCTATCTAACAAGCTTTCATTTGAGGTATAAAAGTTACAACTAACTCAAGTACAAAGACATAAAATTGAAAAAAGATGAGTCAAGTTGTACGAACGATAATTACGTAGGATAAATAAAAGGCTTTTATTTTAATTACAGTTTTATTTAATTACATTTCCTTTAGTATTTTACATATTCTGCTCAAAACGCCGCCATACTGAATTTGGCGTAAATGCCATTTACTCCGTCATTTTGAAAAAGAATGACAACATGTGATACATCGATAAAAAGGCAATTTGAAGCTTTATGCAAATATGTAAAAATATACACAGAGTCTTATTTAAAATTCTTGTTTCATACTCACCTCCGGTCAAACTAGAAGCGATATTCAGTTGTTTTTTAATGGATAATCTGGGTTTTTATGTCATATCTTCAGACAAAATTACAAGGTTCTTCTTACAGTAATTGAATAGTGCCTTGTAAAATGATTTCGCTGACACCCGGTATAACGTATCAGAAAAATTGAGTTGTGAGACCACCATCATTTTAGATATTTATTTAGATTTATTTGGATTTTTATAGGAAAGTTTAATCTATTGCCATTGAATAATTTTAAAGTGGAATATGCCTTACGAATGATAAAGTTAACATATTTTTCACATCTTAAATTAACATACAGTATTAGACCTAAGTTTTTTTCCATCATTGATAATTTCGAGTTGTTCAGAATTGATAGTCAGATTCATTGAGTTGGCTGAAATACGAGTACAATTATATTTGAAAGAGTGCATGTGGGTACATGCCTCTAAAGATTCATTAGATTTCTGGGTTGATCCCTATTTCCATGATTTCATCTCTCATGCTGATGTAAACAAATATTGTCATGAATTGAGGTGGTAAGTCAGCTTCCCTTATCCATTTTAATTAGGGTCTGCAATTTCGGTGTTGGTAGGGAGGAGTTGGGAGATGGGAGTACAGGGTGTTTGTGGAAGGCGCACTGAAAAATGCGGAAAGTTTTAATGAACCAGCTGTTTATTCGTGGGCTTTGAGAAAAGGCCACCGGCAGGCATCGGTAGCTCGTTACGTGGACCGAGTTCGGAAGTGGGAATTGATTGCTTTGCAAAATACATGGGACGAATAGTTTTTAGAGTTGCTTTGATATTGCAAGGGGACTGGAGGTGGCCTGGATCAGAATTGAATCTTTGTTTTGCTATGAAAGTTGCGGGAGGATTTTCCGGAAACCATCATTTCATTATATTGATTTGAGTAATATCAAAGGATATCGAGTTAACAGTAAAAAAGGCAATCCCTCTAAAAACCGCACTACCTGCAACGACACCTGTGGTTCCTGAAATGCTGCCTGGCATTTGTGTGCTTTCACCCATTGCTTGACTGCGATAAAAAAATGTAAACAAACATAAACTGTAGAGCATAACTATCGATCTAACAACAATTTTTGTTTTTTCTGCAGTTGGTGTAAATGTAATTAGTTGTTAAATTCATTAGAATAATTTATGACTATCCCAATCCCAGCGCTCCGTTCGCGTGAGCTACTGTAAAGTATAGTGTAAAAGAGATAGCTTTCAGAGAAAGAAATGGTATATTTAAAGTAATACAACAATTACTCTGGCAATGGTCATCATTTATTCAACATTTTAATGCCACAAAAATTTATTTCAAATGTGTAATCACAATAAGTAATACATGAAGTATCTCACATACTGTGTAGTACATCTCAACATGTGTGCTTAGATTAATGTAACAATTATATGTATATTTGTCCATTGATCTATCAGATCAAGACATTTTTGTAAACAACGTTATATAGTATGTTGAATCATTTATAGCGTAGATGTATAGATACTTCCCCAGCTATTCTTGCAGCTCAAACTTTATCACTTCGCTGCGAAAGGTTAGAATTTCGTTTTCCGGGCATTAAAAAAATTACCAAATAATAATACACTGTTTATAACAACTAAAAGCAGATTACTATAACTAATCTAATCACATTTCAATTACAATGGCAAGCAAACAGAGTGTACTTGAGGTAAGGCAAATAGAAAACCAATAAATCAAAATCAATTTCGTATACGGTGAGGTTAAAATTTGGCTGACTTCGTAATGTGTACGAGAGAGAGAAGCGCGAGAATCGTGCAATGTGTATGTCAGAAAGAGTGCGCCGATGGCATCCTTGACCTCGTACTCGGGTTGCTAGGCTACGAAGTGCTTGTATCGCTTTGTAACACACGAATCGCATCTGGTACACTTTACCACGTAAGTCGCATTTGGTTTTCAGTGTATATCGATCGAGACCTTTAATGACAACATAGTGAACTAACAACCAACTAAGAACGATACTGTAGCAAAGCACCGTTTTTACTGTCCAATCTCTAGCTTATAACACTTTCAACTAATTTATCACTTGCAACTAATTTATGACATACGAGTATTTATAACCATATCGACTGAACCGTCTTGACGCGTCGGTACTAGCTCGTTGACTGTCTCGACTGTGACTGACTGCTTTCGCCATCTGACCGGGTATTTATTTCCCTAATGACGAGTCGATAAACGTTCCATCGTCTTGCGAACTCCCATGGCAGTGGTCTAGATGGCAGCTGATTTATCTCTAGACTTGTCAAATATTTTAATTATAATTCTGTTTGGCTGAAGCGTCGATCACAGTTCTGGCCACCTGTCGAATCTTCTAATTGATGTGCGTGGCTGTCTGTAGCTGGTTCCCAGAGTTCCAGTTATACGAGAGTGTTACAGTACTTAAAACCTATAAACAGACCAAAAAAACAACCCCACCAAAATATACTTACAAAGAAGAAGATCACGCTAAGACGACGAATGTGGAAGTGTAGTAAATGATTCCCCAAAATGATCTATCTATACAGTGCTTTTCTTCAATGTCCCCCTCACCTTTGATGTTTTAAACGGATCAATTCAAAAGATTAAAACTTGAGCTAATAAAATTGATGCGTGGATACCATATTTTAGAGTAAAATTGACTGATGAAAATGTCAAGGTGGCCGCTGGGTGCCATCTTGGAAAAGAAATTATATGAAAATGGGGGTATTGTGGCACATCATTGTGAAGCTCTTGACGAGTACTTTCTAGGGTTATAATATCTTTACCTACAACAAAATGGTGGTACATTTAATAATTACGTGAATAGATCGACACTTAACTTGATAATTCGAATAAATACGATGAGTTCAGTTTGAAAGATGCTGGAAATGGTTGCCTTAAACTTCTTGACACAATGACAGCCCGTCCGTAATTTCGCGTCGAACATTTTCAAACATAGTAACATCGATATTTCTACAAATATTTGTTATTCTCAGCCAATATTGAAGCAGGTTCAATTTCGTACACCTTTTGCTTCAAATAGCCCCATAAAAAATGTATAAAGGTGTCAAATCTGGCGAGCAAGCTGGCCATTCCACAGGACCTCGACGGCCAATCCTACGACCGGGGAAATTGTTATCTAAATAATTTCTAACTTGTCTGTAGTAGTGTAGTGGAGCACCATCTTGCTGGAATACAGTATCAGTGTCGAATTCATTAGGATTCGCTTCGAATATTTCGGTGATTAGACGGTCAATAGTATTTTCCAGCGTATCCAAATATAGTTCCCCGGCTAAAGTTTGCTCGATGAATAGAGGCCCCACAATATGATTTCCCGATATCCCAGCCCAAACGTTAATTTTTTTGTGGATATTCAATATGGTTCCCGGAAGACGTGAGGATTCGTGTCACTCCAATAACGACAATTTTGTCTATGCACATTACCGTTGAGAAAAAAATGTACATTCATCACTAAAACAAATACTATGGATATAGGTAGGATGCCGTGAAGTGGTTTCCGTCATAGTCTCGCAAAATTCTGTTCTTCGATCAAGGTCATCTTCATTTAGCTGATGTACCATTTGAACTTTGTTTGGGTGATACTTATTCTTTTTCAAAAGGCTCCATACAGTAGAACGACAAACCTCACATACATTCGCGATGGAGGAAGTAGACTGTTGGGGATTTACTATGATCTCACCAATTATGTGAACTTGGTTTTCTTCTGGGATGGTCGGATGACCTGGGGGTTTTTTGTTGTTTAAACTATCATACCAGTAGCTGTAAATTTAGATACAAATTCCCTTAAATATTTTCTACAGATAGGATGATTCGGGAAACGATCATTAAAAATCTTTTCGGCCTCGTGAAAGTTACGCGTCGCACCATAAATTCGATTGTTTCTTCCAATGGACGAGAATTGACCATTTTAAATATAGTTCAAACAGTATCCTAGCACTAAAACCGAAAACTAAATAAGAATATTTTAACTGTACAATCATGTTTGTTTTCGTACTGATATTCTTGTCACTGTCAACAAAAAATAACAAAAGAAGTTTGTATCGCTGTTGCTGTGGATACGGCAGGGAATTACAATTATAGATACACATATGCATGTTAGTGGCTTTGTGTTCAAGTAATTATTAAATGTACCACCATTTTGTAGTAGGCACAGGTATTGACTTTATATTCTAGAGTTACAAAGTACTCGTCAGGAGCTTCAAAATGGTATGCCACAAGACCCCCGTTTTCATATAGTTTTTTTCCAAGATGGCGCCCAGCGGCCATCTAGACATTTTCATCTGTCAATTTTACTTACTAAATATGGTATCCACGCACCAATTTCATTAACCCAAGTTTTATTTTTTTGAATTGATCCGTTCAAAGAATCAAAGGGGAAAGGGACATTATGATACCTACATACACTTATTATCTACCTTTTCCACAGTTCCATCACCATATTGCCGAAACTACGAATCAAATAATTTGTCGCTGCTCTTGAATTTGTTCCTAGACTACATTTGGATATCCACAATTGGGGATCAGACAATTTTTAAGAGGTAAACCACTTTCGGCCGTTTGTATTAATATACAACTTTGACACAATTTTGACAAGCCACATCAGTGATACAAAATTCTAAATACTGAGTGTGCAATGACTCGGAGAAAGAAAAAGGATGAAGATGAGACTGTAAACATTAGCTGTGATTCTATTATGTCAACGCAAGAAACATGTGAGTACTTGAAAAAAACAGAATAAATTATTACAGCAGGAGTTATTAGAAAAAACGAAGGATTTAGAAAATTGTCAAGCATTACTTTTGGAAAAAGAAAAATTAATATACCACCTATCAAACGAAAACAGAAGATTTCAAGAACAGTATGATCTTATTTCTTCAAACATAGTCGATAGAGACTGTATAGTAACACCACTTGAGACACTCCTTAGGAGAATTGAGAAGTTAGAGGAAACAACAACAAAAAATTCCACATATGCCCAAGCAGTTATAAATTCACCATCAAAGAGTAAAGAAAGGACACTTAAAAGTCTTATCATTACCCCTGAACAACAACAGTCTAACTACAGAACTAAGAACGAGCTGAGCAGAAATTTGAATTTATCAAAAATAAACATCAAAATTGAAACTGTTAAGAACTGTAAAAATGGTGGTATTGAATTATATGTAGAAGATCGCTACCATAAGAAGCTAAAAGAAGAAATTGGGAAGAATCTGCCATCAACATATACAATATCCGAACCGAAAATGTTTAATCCTAAAATAAAGATTGTTGGCTACCACTCTGAAGAAAAACTTCAAGAACGTGAAATAGAAGAAGATATTATGCGACAAAACCACTTTATAACAAAAGAAAATTTAAAAATCACCTATGTTAGATTCCTTCCTCAAAAAAAGATGAATATAGTTTACGCAGAGGTGTCAGGTAAACTATTCAGACAAATATTTGATAATAATGGAGGGAAAATTTTAATTGGTTTTCAAAATTTATCAGTTTATCCTAATAATGAGGTAACTCAATGTACAAATTGCTTCAAGTTTAATCACTCTGGTAAGAAATGTAATAGTCATAAAGTATGCTTCAAATGTGGAGAAGAACATGATGATACTTCATGCAACAAATCTACTAATCCCATTTGTTGCAACTGTGTATATTCAAACAAAAAATATAATAAAAACTATAATACACATCACTCCCCTACAGATAAATGTTGTGCTGTATTTAAATTTTTCCAACAAAGACATATATCAAGAATTTTATTCTAAATTGCTAAGGACTTAGAATATTTATGAGTAGATACATTACAGAATTTGGACCTGAAATAATTAAAACAAATATTTTAGACGATTTACCTACAACAAAGTTACGTTTTTCTAATAATATTGATTCAGGATTGAACATCTTTCACACGAACATAAGGAGCATTCATAGAAATATGAATGAACTTCATACCTTGTTGGATATACTAGATTTTAAATTTGATGTTATAGTGCTAACTGAAACATTTAAAGTATATGATACAAGTTTGATTGAAATTCCCAATTATGATTTATATTATAACGATGGTAGTTTTAATAAAAATGACGGGGTTCTGATTTATGTAAAACAAAATTTGAACAGTGGGTATGAAATTATTAATATAACTCAAACAAAACTTTTACGAGTTATTCTTCAAAAGAATAATAAATGGATACAGATCATTGGTGTGTACAAATCACCCTGTATATCTGTAACAACATTTAACGGTCAATTACAATATTATCTAGAAAACAGTAGAAAATTTGATATCAACTTATTCATTGGAGACCTTAACATTAATATATTAGATCATAACAATCAAAATATTCAAGATTATTTAAATATAATGGCTGAACATGGTTACCTGTCAGCCATTAACGAAATGACAAGAGTAGAAGGAAACAGTGGGAGTTGTATAGATCATATGTTTATAAATTCACGTTTAGAACTTGACAAAATATATTCAGCAATTCTAAAATACAATATTTCTGATCATTTTCCTACTTTGCTCAAAATCGATCTTGAAAGTACATCAACCAAAATTGAAAAGACAGTGAATAATACAAAAATTTACATTGATTATGAAAAACTAAATAACAACTTACTCAATGAAAATTGGATTGTAGTATATAACGAACCTAATATTGAAAATGCATTTGTCCTTTTTATATCTAGTATTGAAGGCCATATTGCTGAATGCACCAAAACAGTAAAGATTCCACGAACACAAATAAAAAGACAAGCATGGGTATCAAAAGGGATTATTACCTCTATCAACAAAAAAATAGAATTATATAAGGAAACCAAAAAATACCCTTATGATGTTAAACTTTTGAATGAATTTAAATTATATCGAAACAGACTGACAAAAATAATTAAAGAGGCTAAAATTAAATATCTCCAAGACGAGTTTGATAATCTACAAAATTGTTCGTCCAAAATGTGGCAATTTATCAATAAAATACAAGGCAAAAAACAAAACAACAAAATTAGTACAATTAAAAAAGAAAATGGTGAACTAGTGAGTAATGATGTAGATATAGCAAATGAATTTTGTGAATATTTTTCAAAAATCGGGAAAAGGTTGTCAGAAAGCATAAAAAACGCGGAAAAATTAAATTATAGTAAGACCAGATTATATAACTCATTATATCTGGAACCGACCGATACGCATGAAATAAAGACAATAATCAATGAGTTGAAATTAAGAAAATGTCCAGGTCTAGATAATATAACAGCGTATACTCTCAAAAGAATAAATTGCAACATCTGCGGCATACTATCATATTTGATAAATTCTTGTATGAATAAAGGAATATTCCCTTCATGTTTAAAACACGCTATGGTAAAGCCATTATTTAAATCTGGAGAAAGAGAAAAACCCATCAACTATCGACCAATTTCCATCTTAACAAATTTTTCTAAAATATTTGAAAAAGTGTTAAAAAAACGATTCACCGAATTTGCAAAAAAATATAACTTAATAGCGGAAGAGCAATATGGTTTTCAAGAAGGCAAATCTGCTCAAGATGCTATTGTAAAATTAACAAATAAAATATACACGAATCTCGATATTGGCAAACCAACTGCTTGTGTTTTTGTTGACTTGGCGAAGGCATTCGACTCTATTATTCATGAATCGCTTTTAAAAACTTTAGAAAACTTAGGTTTCCGGGGAATAACATACAAACTTATAGAAAATTATTTGTCAAATCGAACACAGTGCGTCAAAATTAATAACACATTCAGTGAACCCCATATTATATCACACGGTGTACCTCAAGGCTCAGTATTAGGACCCATTTTATTTAATCTATTTATCAACGATTTGTTCAAAATAAATAGTACAGGTAAAGTTATCGGTTTTGCGGATGATACAGCTATTCTCTATGAAAGCAACCAGTGGCATACACTAAAAACCACAATCGAACATGATTTCAAAACATTTATAAATTTCTTTTCGGAAAGAACTTTGACAATTAATTACAACAAAACACACTATATAGCATTTTCTTGTAACGACAGGCTCTCACCGCAATTTAAAAAACTTGAAATTCATACAAGCAGTGGTCTCAAAGAGATTCAGTCAGCCGATAAAATAAAATACTTAGGCGTGATTTTGGACAAACACTTAAAATGGGATACCCATACAGAGTACCTTGTGAAGAGACTGAGATGTATTATTCCAAAATTCAGGTACTTCAGAGATATTCTAGATAAGAAATATCTATATAATCTATATTATGCTCTTGTTTATCCTCTATTACTTTACGGAATTTTGGCTTGGGGGGAGTTATGAAGAATAATTTACAAAAAGGTTGAGGTCATCCAAAAATTAATTCTAAAATTGATCCTCCATAGGGAGATTACTTATTCAAGTGATTTTCTATATGTGGAGGCTCAGCTATTAGATTGCAGACAAATTTATTTTTATTGTGGTCTAATACATTATTTCAAATATTCAAAATACTTTAATCGTACCATTCATAACTACCCAACAAGATTCAATCAAAATTCAATGTGTATTCCACAGACATCAAAAACCATTACACAACGATCTCTGTTTTTCTTGGGACCAAAATTCTATAACTTCATACCAGAGTCATTAAAAGTAATTAAATCAAATAAATCATTTAAAAAACAACTAAAAAAATGGATTTTACAACAACCAAGGTACTCCATCCACGAAATTGTAGATCTGAAAAATCACTATCAAAATCAATAATATTTTACTTACACTAACATCCATACTTTTACTTCAGTTCTAATTGTCTGGATATTTTTCCTGACATTACCATAATAATTCACCAAATTATACAGTATTAACGGGTTTTTTCTTTTTTTTTTTCATACACTGACTGTACTATTAGTTTTTATTTTGTACAAACCCAAACACAAGTGCAAACTTTTTTTGGGTGCTTTATGTTTATTGTGCACAATATTTGATATTTACTTGTATTTTGTGACAATAAACATTATTATTATTAAAGAAAAGCACTGTATACCCTTACTGGTTCCGGTCGGACTAGCGACTGAGCGCTTCCGCGCCAGACACCTCACCAAACTCCATTAAGCCGTTTGAGCTGTAGGTCACCAAATAGATATTTCGAAATTATTTCCCGTGATAAAAAATAGTATATGTGCTATTTCAAACTATAGTTTATCTCTGTACCAAATTTCATTTAGATCCGTTCATCCATTTTAGTGTGAAGGAGTAACAAACATCCAAACTTTCTCATTTATAATATTGGTTATTGTATACGTCTGGGAATTGACAAAATGGGATGATCAATGTCTGGTCGTGGCACCTTAGACTTCGTGGATTAGCTGTGGCAAAGTATGTGGCCGATAGTGCGAAGTGGGTAGTCTCCTCCCCATCATATCCTATGTTCGACGGGATTTAAATCCCTAAAGCTAAACATTCAGGCCTGCTTCTGGAAGAAAGTCCGTAGTGCGACGATCAACATGAGGACGTGCGTTGTCTTGCTGAAAAAGGGCATGTGGACAGGGCAGTAAAGTGGTTTGTAGGACATCATCAGTATAACGCGCAGCAGTCATGCTGCCTTGTCCATAGAGGGTGATCGACTAGCATAGCAGTATCGCCCCAAACCACTACTCCAATAGTCCTGTGTACATGCCTCTCAACAGTAAATCCAATATCACGCGGTTCTCCACGATGGCGTCTTACCCTTCTACG